CCCGAGGCGGAGGCGAGAACCGCAGGGGCTGCAGGCGGCAGACTCTGCGCGGGTCCACTTCCCCCAGCCTCCAGGCCCTCCACGCCCAGCTCTCCTCCTTCCTCGCCTCTCCTCCACTCGGGGGACACTCCCTCCAGCCCCGGTCCGGCGCCCACCCGCCCGCCCGCCCCTCCGGGATCCACACGGCTACTGTCCACCCCAGTCCCACCTCCCGCCCCCTTCCCGGTGGAGAAGCGCCTCTCACCCGCGGCGTTTGTCAGCAGAGGTGCCCGCCGTCACTCCCAAACCCTCGGACGAAGCCACAGGTATCCACCGCTAAGCCGCGGAAAGGGGGGCCCGCGCCCGAAGAAGGTCTCGGTCCCCCCAGCCTTCATACCCCACCGCTGGCCTGACGCGGGATGGTGTCCAGCCCGCCCCGCCGCCGGGAAACGCAGCTCCCTGCCGAGCTGGGACGCCGGGCTGCCCCTTCCGAAGGTACGGGCAGTGCCGGGCTGGGAATCGGGTGCGGGGCAGTGCAGCCAGGACTCTGGCACAACTGGCGGTGGGATCCTAGCCAAGTTGTTTAAACTCTCAGCGCCTCAGCCTCCATCTCAGTAAGAGGGGGACCCGGGGGCGCGATGCTCCGATGAGGGGTGAAGATGTCAGGGAGCGTGAGGACACCCCCCCCCTCCAATGCCAAACCCCCGGGGCACTCCGCTCACGGCCACACACAGGTCACCCGTCCTGAATATCTGTCAGAACTACAGGGCGGGGCTTAGAGGACCGCAGTCCTTCGTCCAGACAGAACCGGGGCGTCCGGGGCACCTCTGTCTCATTCAGGGCTCAGCGTCTGCATCCGAAAGTTGGGCCGGGCAGGGGCGGAATCCCCACCCGCCCGGGTGCTGGAGCCGAGGGAACGGCGGGCGCGGAGCTCAGGTCACTTAACTTAATGGGGGGCGGGTGCGCAGCCCCAGTGGCGCCCGCAGCTGCGGAGGGCGCAACCCTCGTACCGCAGCGCCCCCTGGGGGCCGCCTCCGCCTCCGCGACCCTGGGCTGCGCGCTGCCGGGACATTCCCCTCCCGGCGCGTCCGGGGCGCTCCGCACCCGAGACCCGGCGGCCGCCGGACCCGGTCGGACGACGCCCACTCCTTCCCCTCCTGTCCGCTGCGCTTCTTCAAACCGCGAGACTAAGCGCTTCGGAGCAGCCCGTGGGTTGGGGACAGGGTTCGCCCCGGCGAAGTGGGCGCTCCCTTCCCAGCCTCCCGTCCCCCGCGCAATTCCCCGACTGGGCGAGGCCGCCAGAAAGAGCGCACGACGGGAGCGGAAAAGCGGAAAACGGCCCTTCCTCTGCTCGCCTTCTCCCCCCACTGCCCCTCGGCAGACCCGCGGGGCCCCGACCACCTTAGGGGCCGCTTTTCCTTCTCCGTCCTCTTTCATTTTGCTTCCTCTCTCTACCTCCCTCGCCGCCGTCCCTTTTTGCCCTACCCAACCCACTTTTCTCTCTTCAACCGACGACCCCCACTCCCCGAGGCTATGCCTCCCACGCCCCTCCCCCCATTGTCTGGCCAGTCCCCATTGTCCGCTGCCCGGTCCTCTCGGTCGTTCCAACCTCCTCCCCATTGTTCCAGCCCCGCACCTCCAGCCCCACTTGCCCCTCACAGCTCTAGTCCCCGTCGCATTCCTCATCCTTCTCTAGCCTGGGTTCTGTCCCACGACCCCCCAGAAATCAAGATGCTGGGGAGGGGGGGAGAGTCGCCTTGAGGTCCTGGCATTCAAGCGCCCTCTTCCAAAGAACCCAGGTTCCAAGAACCGCAGGACCCCCTCCTCTGAGACCCTCCCGGCGCCTCCACACCCACACACCCAGGTACCGGAGTGCCCGCATCCGTGCGCACCTCTGGTCCGCATCTCTACCCGGGATCTCAGGGTCTCCTCTGCGCCCTGAGAACCCTAGACGCTCCTCCGTGGACCCTGGCATCGGAGCTCCTCTCCCGCCATCCATCCCCAGCATCTGGGAGCCCAGCGCTTGGTTCTGTTTTCCCTCGGGGAAACCTGGACCCCTAGGGTTCCGGTCCAGGGAAAGAGAGCGGGCTCCCCTCCGGCTAGCACTCACCCCCAGCAGCAGCAGCAGCAGGCGCGGCGGGTCCATGGCGCAGCCGGCGGCACCTGCCCCCATCGTCCGCCTCCCGCGGCAACGCCGACTTCCAGTTAGTCCGCGCTGCGGACAGATCGGGCTGCGCTGCGCTCCGGCACCCGCCCCCCGGAGCTGGCGGAGGCTCCGCTCCCTCTGGCTGCGGGCGGGCGGGGCCCGGGAGAAGCCAGTGCGGCGGCCCCGCCTCCTCCCCGCCCAGCCCGCCCACCCCCGGAACCTTGCCCGCCTGCTCCGCTGCCTCCGGGAGGGGAGAGAAGGAGGAGAGGGTGTGCGGCGAGCTGCGGCCGCGCGCCCCGCGGCCGTTTCTCATCGCCCTAGCCCTCAGAGCCTCTCCCTCACCTCGCCCCGGTACCCAGAGTGCCAGGCCCGCCCCAGGGCACGTCTGTCCCGGATACTGTGGGCCCTGGACCAGGGCGGCTCCCATTCCCCTCCGGCTGCGCCCACCCGCGGGACTCACTCTCTTACCCATCTTCCTCTGCCCTCCATCCCCAGCGTCTGGCCTCAGCTTCTTCCTGGTGTGCTGCTCTCTACCCAGCCTTTATCAGCAAGATGTCCACTGCCCGCCCTGCCCTTTCTCCTCTGGTCCAGACCCTACCTCTGCCCCTTCCCAGTGCAAAGGCCTAGGAGGAGGGGAAGGGAAGAGTAGCAGGTGGCTATTTGAATGAGGGGGGTGGCATTCAAGGGGGAGTCCATCCCTACATCATTCTCAAATGATGGGTTTGAAGGGATCACAAGTGTGCACACATAACACAGGAAGACACACAGTCTCAAGCTCACATACTTACGTACCACATATGCCCACACCATCCCCATGCACTCATGTAGACCTGCACGTCCTACATATGTGTGTGCACCTCCACACTCAAGCACACACGCACACTCATTGCACATGTGGTCATAACAAACATGCACGCTCACCTACACATTCACACAGGCATGTGTGCATGTAGTCACCACACAAGCCCCATGCGCATAGTCACTTGCACAAATGCACACACACATTCATGCACACACACACTTACACACAAACACACAGATGTATCCTCAGCAGCATACCTTTACTAGGCCAGATGTTTCCATTAGCTTATGACTATGGTTTCTTATTGGAATGCCTGGTGCACAGTACTAGTAAGTGCTCGATAAAGGTCTGTAGAAGAGAATAAATGGAAAAGCGGTTGGATGGACTCACATCCAAGTACACATCCGTGTGCTGTGTTATCATCCCACACTCGCCATGTCCTAGAAGGCTTGACGGGTCCAAATCAGGGAATGTGCCAGGGAATGTGCCAGCCGTCTTCCCACCACCACCTTGATGCTCGCCATGGCCTGTCCCCACCCTTTCCTGGTTCCCAGATATGAAGACCCAGTAGCACATGTGGGGGGGGGCATGTCTACAAAGTCCATCCCAGCCCCCTGATCTTGAACATGTGTGTTTGTGTATGGGTGTGTGTGTGTGTGTGTGTGTGTGTGTGTGTACCTCAGTTTTGACTTTGAAAAAAAAAATAGTGCTAATCTCCCATGTTACCGGAAGGAGAGATAAGTGCCCTTGTGAAGAGGACATGCTGGCAGTTGGTCGGGGATTTCCTAGATCAGCTGGAGGTCATTCATTCATTCATGCGGGGAAATTTTTGCCCCGTGAATTTCTTTCCTGGGCAACCAACTAAGTCCGGGGGCAGACCCAGGAAGGACACGTAGGCATCATTGTGCACGAACGTGGACGAGCCACCACCTGGCTGGCTGGCAGAAGAGGCCAGGAAGCCAGCCCATCTTCAGGAATCCCTGAGGAGTCCCTCCTCTGGGACAGGGACCTACCTCTGAGCTGTTTCCTTTTCCCTCGGCTTTTATGGCCCATCCTTCCCTTTCAGCCGAATTCATGGAAGGCAGGAAGGGGCAACATTAGTACTAACAGCAGCAGTGCGCTGCTAACTACCAAGGGTATACATGGTGTGGCATTAATTTAAATCCTCCTGTTATTAATTTATGATCCCAGTTATTATTATTGCCAAGGTTATCCATCTCGACACAATTTAATATGACCCACAGAACCATGGCTGAGCCTGGGTTATTAATAATTTCCATGGTCATGATCATTTAAGCCGTACTCGAACAATTACAAGGAGCAGTTGTTACTATTATTAGCCGTGTTTCTATGAGTAAGCCCACACACACGACCACGATGAAATGCTGAGTGCTGGTGGGGAGAGTGGCTCTGCAGAGTACATGGAGGAAAGAGCACTGAACTGAGAGTCAGACCAACCTGGCTATAAAAGCCTACACAGCCCACCCCACCCCGCATGGCTTACTCCTGGGTGGCTGTAGGCAGGTTAAGCCATCTCTCTCTGCCTCCGTTTCCTCATCTATAAAATGGGAATTTTAAAAAAGATCCTATCATGAATGGGCATGGTGACTAACAAACGAGGTAACCGTGTTCATCGCAAAGAGAGACTCCATCCCCTTTTCCTCACTCAACGCATATTTATGGAGCACGCAATATAGGCGCACACTGTTCTAGGCACTGGGGACTCAGCGGTGAACAATAGCAGCTGCTCTCGAGGAGCTGATGTTCTAGTGTGTTTAGGTATTTGATGTGAAGGATTATTTTAGGATGTGACACCTCGGCTTGACCATTCTGTAGATAGCACAGCTGCAATCAGGATGTTCCTTTGCTGGGACCACCACCATGACCACAACCACCATCACAGCCACCTATACCAAAACCAGCACCACCATGACCACCGTCATCATGACACCAGCATCAATACCAGTAACACCGCAGCTACGCTGCCATCACTCCCACTCCCACCATCCTCCCCATCGCTACCGTGACTACCACACCATCAGCACCACCATCCCCATCATCATCACAGCTGCCAGGGTCATGGCCACCACCACCATCTGCCTTCCTTCATCTGCACCATCACAAGCAGCAGGGATTCCTGCTCCTAATGGATCCATCCCTTTTCCTTGGAGCAATATCAGAGGCCCTATGGAGCCACTGCCTGCCTGATCTTCATTCCCTAAGAGTCATGACTCCGGGCCTCAAACATGAGTGTCCTTCAAACATTGCTCCCCAGCCCAGCCAGTGTGGCTCAGTAGTTGAGCATCAACCCATGAACTGGGAGGTCATGGTTCCATTCCAGTCAGGGCACATGCCTGCGTTGCAGGCTCTATCCCCAGTAGGGGGCGTGCAGGAGGCAGCCGATCAATGATTCTCTCTCATCATTGATCTCCCTCACCCATCCTCTCTCTGAAATCAATTAAAAATATATTTTTTTAACAGAAAATTTTGTTAAAAAAATTTCTCCCTGACCCAGCCCCCTTGCCCCTAATCCTTAGCACTTGCAGCCGCCACTGTAGGATGAGCATGGGAGTGGGCTTGGGAGCTGACCAGCAAGTAGGATCAGACAGGCAGCGTCAAGGAGGCAGCTGTTTTCATGGGAGGGCCCCCCAGAACCATCTCCCATGACAGAGTTGCACCTATAGAGGGCCCCGACCCCCCACCCCCACCCCCAACACATACGCCAAGGTTTCCTGAACCTGATAGTGACCCTAAGGGGAAAGGGTGGAGGAAATCATTGCAGTTCTACTTGGAGCTGGGAATGGGAGTGGTGAGTCGCATTGCATTGTCAGGAGTTGAAATGGCTTTGCCACTGCCCTGTTCATCGCCCCACCCCTCTGTCACACACTCCCAGGAAGGCAAGCTCCTGACACATACTCCCTGTTCTCCCATCTCATTGGGACCCCTCACTGCCGGCCTTCCGCAGAGCATGGCTCACACCGCCCTTGCCCATCCCTAGGGAACCAGCCTGCAGCCCAACCCACTTCCCAGCAGAAATGAAAACTCGCATTTATTGAGACGTCCTCTGGGCTGGGAGATCACACAATTAGCTCCTTTAATCCCCACTTCCAGGAAGGAGGTGCCGGGATCACCATTTTACAGATGAAAAGACTGAGGCTTGAAGAAGAACCCCCAGAAGGAAGCAGTGGTACCAGAACTGGCCACTGTATCGCACGAGGCCCTCCCCAGCCACATTTTTTCAGCGTTAACCCCCATGTCTGTTCACTCCTCCTCTCCATTCCAGCCACCCCCCCACCCCCAGCCTTCACCCCAATGAGTTGGGGAGATAGAACTTGCATGTCAGAGGGGCAGCACTCTGCCCTTCATGTCACCCCCAGGTGCCCCTCCGGACATGCACTGCAGAATCTGTTCTTGGGGGGGCCTAGCACAGATGGGCAGAGGCAAGCCAGGGGGTGACCTCTGCCTTTTGATCAAAGGTGTGATTTCCAAGCTCTGTTAGCGAGTGCTCACTTTTCCTGCTTTGGGAGAATCACTTCCCCTACCACCAGTTTCAATGTCCAACCAGAGAAAGGGTGAAGGGAGATGAACAAGGAGACAACGATTTCCGAAGGGGAGGAAGGGGAGGGGAGGGGCTGGGCCTCCCCAGCTGCATCCCATCTGCCCCGGGCAGGCGGCCAGGCAAGGTAAGTGAAACCTGCTGCCCCCCATTAGGAGCTGGCTCGGTGGCTTTGAAGCGTGATGCAGTGATTACATCGGAGCTGACTCCTTCTGGGCCGCAGGGGGCGGGCGGGGGGCGGGGAGGGGGGGCTTGACCAGTGAGGGGGGCAGGGTGGGGCCCAGGGACTGGTTTGGGGTCAGTGCGGTTTGATTCTGGAGCTGCATGAGTAGTGAGAGGGGTGGGAGGAATTAGTCAATTTTGGAGCCCAGTTAGATTAACTGGAGCATCAAAGTGGGCCAGTTGCGCTGTGCCCTCCCCCACCGTCTGCTCCCGCCTAAGGCCAGGGCTCCCTTCCTACCTCCACCCTGTCCTGCAAGGGGCCTGTCTGACCCACATTCGCCAGCCTTCCCGCCTCCCAGCCCTTCTGTGGGTTACCCTCCCCTGAGAGTTGTCTCCTCTCTTCCTTTGACTTAACAGTAGAATAGGCCAGTCTCCCAGCATCTCATGTGCAGTCTTTTCCTTCAAAGGCCAACCTCCCTCCTACCTGTGCCCCATTATGTACCCATAACTCTTGCCAAGGAGCCACAGGATCCGGTCCATTCATTCATGGAGACCGTAGGGGCTTAGTTTCCCCAGAAGTTGTGTCTTGGAGAAGGCCTGTCCAG